CTGGCTTACTGAGTTCTGCTCAGAGCCCGGTCCTGTGCGAGGTGATACGGAGAGGGGGAGCTGACGTGGGCAAGATGTGGTACCTGATCTCCAGGAGCTGACAGGCTGCTGGTAAAGACAGAAAATTAATAAACGAGTCTACCAGGAGGTGATCTCAGATCATTGTTGTTATCAAGATACAAAATATATTTTAGTCATGACTTGTGACAGAAGCCCAAGTCAAATTAGTTTATGCAAAAATAAGGGAATTATTTGACTCGTGTCACTCAAAAATGTAAGTATAGGGTTGGCTTCAGGCATGGCTGGATCCAGTGGGTCAAATGATGTCCCTGGGACTTGGTTCTGCCCTCTGCCATTCACTCATGTAGACGAAGACCAATTCATCCAGAACCATTGCATGTGAGATGCCAGAGACACCACTGACTGTTGCTAAGGTGTCCCATGCAGCCCCACTCCTGCTTCCCAAATGCTGCCCTTGTGTCCTCCAGGGCTCAGATCTGGGCTGTCATAAGAAGTCAACCCCCCCACCCCCAGCCTGCCTCTCTCCCAACCAGACACCACCTCTCCTTATCCCGCACTCCTTAGATGGATAACATAGATGGTGTTCTCATGCTCATTCTGTATGTGAAATCTCTGGACTTTCTGGAAACCTAGATTTAGGGATCCAGAGCAGAAGAAGCATCCCTACCTCTTGCATCTGCCTGGTGGTCACAAGCAGGGCCTCGAGTGTCACTTTGACACTTGCCAGCTGTGTGACCTCAAGAAGGTGGCTTACCCCTCTGAGCCTCGGCTCTCTCATCTGTAAAGAGGAGGTAATAGTTTTTATGTTGTAGGATTGTTCTGAAGAGTAAATGCATGTAAAGTATTTGGTACAAAGAATAAATCCTCAAACATTTAGCTGCTATGACTATTCTGTTTCTTTTATACCACCAATGAAGGAAATTCTATTTGGGGGATTTAGGCTTTCGAAGAGAATATTATTACTAATAGCTACCATTTATTATGTACTTACTATATGATAGGCACTTTACATTTATTCCTTGCAGATGAAGAAACCAAGGTCCAAAAGGTTGAATCCTTTACCAGGGAGGGACACACTGCAGTTCAGTGGTAGAGCTGGGGTCACCCACACCCAGCTTGCCCCTAAGCCCTAACCACTGCTCTACTCTGCCTCTCTGGAATGAGATGGGGAAGTGAAAATAAAACGACCTTAAGTGATACTTGCAAGGATATATTATTCAAATCAATGCTGGGGGCAAAAAAGATGAGAAGGAATGTGATAGGAAAGAAATACTGGAAAGGCTTGTACTGAAAAATACAGTGTTTTTCTCTGAGTGGTAGGATTCTGAATAATATTTCTTTTTGTGTTGCTCTGTATGGTCCAACTTTTTAGTGTTGAATAATACTTTGTAGTTAGAAGGGAATATAAAACACTACACTGAAAGAGGAAGTCCTATTTTAAGCTAATACAAGCTGGTTTGAACAAGTTACGGAACTAATAATGATGAATTGAGCAATTTTTTTCCTAAACTGCATCATTTCTGCAAACCTCAAGTGAAGCTTTCTTATCTTGGGCCACCCCAGGCCCCAGTCTGAGACCTTCCAGGCAATGTTCTGCCTAGTCCAGCCAGAAGATTGAGGTGTGGAAGAAAGGACTGTGTACTAGGTGACCTGGGTTCTGCTCCTGAATCTGGAGTGAACTACTAACAAGAGTAGGCCAATTACTTAATTGGTAATTGGGCTCAGTTTCATCTTCTGCCAAATGGGTATAATAAAAACCTACCTTCCTTATCTTTTTAGGTGGTGTAAACATTGCTTCTAAAGGTGATGAAAAATAATAGTCCCGTCCCGTAGTGAAGGAAAATCCTATAGGCAACCAGGGGTCCAGAGAGTATTCCCAGGAGAGTGGTAAGGCCTGCTGGTCCAAAATGAAGTATGAGAAATTCATTGCGCTGGCTTCTTGGGAGAGGGTATCATGGGGACCAGCAAAAGCAGGCTGCACTTCTCAGGTCACACCAAGGTCCCAAGGAGAGGGGGGATCTGGTCATGGAGGCTGGGTAACAACTGGCTTTTTTGTATAACTTCTTATTGGTTGGGCTAGAGTTCACAGTATGTGTCTTAACATCTCCTGCTTTACTTTCAAGTGGTAATATACTATTTCATGTAAAATATAAGAATTTTTCAACACTATATTTCTCTTTTATCCCTCCCACTCTTGTGCTAGTTTTGCAAAGTTTTACTTGATGTAAGTTATAAATATCACCATACAGTTTTCCTTTTTCCTCTCTTTGCTTCATTTGAATATTTATTGTTACATCTTCAAGTTCACTTACCTTCTGTGTGTCTAATCTGCTATGAATTAGTATTTCCATAGAGTGAAATTTTTATCTCAGATACTGTATTTTCATCTCTAAATATTCATTTGGGTCTCATTTTCATGTTTTCCTTTAATTTCTTGAAGTATTTTAAATAGATGTTTTTAAAATATTATTCGTTAATTCCATTATCTCTGTCACTTCTGTGTCTGCTGATATTGACTGAGTTTTCTTCCAGTTATGGGTCACACTTTCCTGCTTCTTTGCATATCCAGGGATTTTTTTTATTGGATGCTGGATATTACGAATATTAAATGTTTAAGTGTTGTTCTCCTTTAAAGATGGTTGGACTGGGTTCTACCAGACACTTAAGTTACTTGTGGATCAGCCTTGATTTTTTTAGGCTTATTTTTAAGCTTTGTTGTGGCAGGTCTAAAGTAACCTAATGTAATCTAGAGCCGATTTAGCCCAACTGCTATGATATGAGCCTTCTGGAGTCTCTGGTAAATGCCGATGTGTTCAACAAGGACTCTGCACTCTGGCTGCTTGGAACTTGAGCATCTCTCAGCCTTGGCTGAGCTTTGGCAAGTGTTCAACTCATAAGGCCCCTAATCCTTCCTCTTTACCAAGCTTGTGGAGTTTCTCCCTGTTCAGCCGCAGACTCAAGCAGACCCCTATTCAAACCTCTAGAGCTTTCTCTTTCTTGTAGTTTTCTCTCTGGTACTCTGCTCTCAAATCCAAGCCATCTTAGCCTTCTTGAACTTTTATCTTTATTTCATCAACTTAATAAGACCACTGTGCTCTGCTGGGATTCTCCCTCCCTGCCCTGAAGCCAGACAGAAAGCCAAGCCAAGCCCAGGACTCACCACATCTGTTTCCCTTCTCTCTGGTGTCATAGTTCTATGCTGCCTACTCTCCAGTGTCTGAAACCACTTGTTTCCTATATCTTGTCCAATTTTCTAGTTGTTTACAGTGAGAACTAGCAATTCCTTTTGCGATGCCTCTGGGGTAGAGCACCAGTGATCCAGGCGGGGTGTACACTTCTTCAAGAGACTTGTACAAAAATGGACTTAAGGCTAATAAAACCAGTGAAAAGTCAGTAGGGTCATTCTGATCTGCTTCTTAGAAAAAGTCAGGATAAAGACTCACAACCCAGCACCAAGTCAAATTTTATAACAGGAATTACTAGTGACCATCCATTGATGAATTGATAAGTAAAATGTGGAATATTCATACAGTGGAATATAATCTGGCAGTAAAAAGTAATGGAGTACTGATATATGCTGTAACGTGTGAATCTTCAAAACATTGTGCTCAGTGAGAGAATAGTCACAAAAGATCATATCTTATTATTACATTGATATGAAATGTCCAGAATAGGAACATTTATAAAAATAGAATATAGACTAGTAGGGAGGGGGTGGGGAGTGGCTGTTAATAGGGACGGAGTTTCTTTTGAGGGAGACAAAAATTTTGTAAAATTACACTGTGGTGATCATTGCACAACCTTGCAAATATACCAAAAAATGTTGAATTGTATACTCTTTAAATGGGTGGATTGTATGATATGTGAATTATATCTCAATAAAATCATAAAAAATCAAAAAGAATTGTTAGCAATTTTCCCCTGCATTGAAGATAACGAAGGAGTGGAAAGGACCTGCAGTGAGGTGGAAAAGATGTGCCAGCTCCTATGCTGGTTTACGCACGTGTTACAAGTAGCATTCCATCTTGTACTGAAAAATGTGACCACAAGAAAGTTTACATGGTTTTTGGGACTGGGGGCTTACTAATGTTGGATGTTAGTCTTAAAATCCATTCAGTCTTTCTTAATTACTTTAACTGTAAGAGTATTCTTGCAAAGTTTTGGTTTCATCCTCACATTCTAGTAGCTTTGTCTTCTACCTGGGATCCTATCAACAGTGAGCATTCATTGAGTCATGCCATCTGCAGAGAGGGGACATTAGGGCGTGCCTAACCTCAGCCCTGACCTCAAAGGAACCTGAGAACAGGAGAGGGAGTGTCACATGGTCACTGAGAACTATGATTTCATTTTCATGTCCCTGCTTAGAGCCACCAGAAGAAGGGTGACACAGAATCAGGTTCAAAACAGCCACGGATGGGAGAGTAGGCACACTGTCTGTGTTGACTTTCTGTTGTCAAATATGAACACTGTTCACTTTCATCTTAAGTGAGTCCTCTTACCTTCATTAAAAGCACTGTGAGTTTTCTGTGAAAGAAAAATGTTCATTTGCAGGCATCCTGCAGGGTTTTCAATAATAGACTCTTGAGTGGACATTTCAGACCCCAAGTTTTGCTTAGAAATACTAACAGCCAACATTTATTGAGTGCTTGGTGTGTGCCCCTCCTGTTCTAAGTACTTTCAGGTATTATCAACTCCTTGTTGACTGATGTTTCTTTCACTGTATATATATAGGGAATGTAAAAAGACTGCATTTCTTTTTTCCACTCTTCTTTTTTCAGGTAAAATCTTGAGTAATTTGAAATGTTTCCTTCAGATTTTATGGTATTAATGCAGCAGCACAGTAATTCAGCATCCAAACTAGCCCAACCCTCAGGCAGTTAAGCCAGGAGGCTGGCCGCCGGGCCTTCACGTGCCGGGGCCCTCCGTGCCGAGTGAGGGCAGCGCACTCATCAGGTGTGGTGTGTGTGGTTTTTCTCTAGGATCATCCACGAAGATGGCTTCTCTGGAGAAGATGTAAAACAGTACAAGCCTGTGGTCTACAGCAACACCATCCAGTCCCTGGCAGCCATCGTCCGGGCCATGGACACTCTGGGCATTGAATATGGTGACAAGGAGAGAAAGGTAAGCCAGAGAGCCTGTGGGCACAGCGAGCAGAGGGCCTGTCCCCGTTACCCCACTGTGCCCCTCTACGATGCTAGGCTGCCTTCCAGGAAGGACAAGAGACTGTGCTGTCTAGGAGAGAGAAGGCTAGTCCCCAGCCCAGGCCGGTGTACCGGTCCTTCTGGCAAACACAGCCAAACAGGGCTTTGGTGATGGGCAAATACCCACAGCAAGGTCACCAACAAAGACAACAGCCACAGAATCCCGGTGAGGGCTGGGGGGTCATAGGTGAGAAAGGGTTGGGACTCTTCTGAGCTGGGACCTCCCAGCCTATACCAGTACCTGGCCTTGGGCAGTTAACGTGAACAGAAAAAGTATTTCTTAAAGCAAACAAGCCCTACCTGGTCACCACTACCCCTCCTTAGGAGAGCTTTCCTAGCCTTGCTGGGGGTTGGAAGGAGCCATCTGACTTGACCCTCCTTCCTCCTTTACACCAAAAGATGTGTGTTCTGCTGCCCCAGATGAGTCTGAGGACCTAAGAGACTCCTTCCTTTAGGAAGTCAACATCTTAGAATGGGCACTGTTTTTCAGTTGAGTTTTCAGGCATCTGATAAATGGTAAATGGAATAAGTATATCAAACCTCTCATTCACAGACATTTGCATTAACTGTAAGACTGAACTCTACACAGCTTCTCCGGCAGAGCTAAATAGAGGGGAGGGAGGGAAACAGCCTCAGATAATTCTATCCAGAAGTGGCCCTCTGTGCCCGGTGGGATTCTGAATCCCAGTGATCCTCTCCCTGTAGTGTGATGTGTGGAGAAGGGAAGCAGGTGGAGGTCTCTGAGCACCTGGGCTCCACATTGGAGTCTCTGGAAGGAGAGCATTAATCTCTGATTACTGTGTGATTCAGCTGTGCGTTTATATGCACCTCCTGTTTTGCTAAAAATCATCTCCCTCACAGAGGAGAACTATCCTCTCCTCTGGATCTGATAAATCATCTGTGACAGATAGTTTTAAATGTGAAATTCAAAATATTTTATGCACAAAAACCTAATTCCATGGGGCAGAGTCATTCCAGCTCAGGCATTGGCTCTTCCAGGTACAGGGGAATGGGGTGACTGGGAGCGTGCCCAAGGCCAGCCTGGGATGAGGAAGCCAGGCACTGGCAGGGGCCAGGGCTCCATCCGCTGCTCTGCTGCAAGGCCAAGTGAAGAAGCTGGTTCTGCAAAAGAAGCACTTTCCCCTGGGGGACGGGCTTTGACTCGGCCCCAGAGCCAGGGCCCATGGAAAGAGGAGTGCTCCCCTTTCTTCAGCCTCACTTCCCTTACGCTAAGGGCGTACTAATGTGTCAGGCCCTGTTCTGGCTGCTAGGGCTACAGGAATGAACACAGAGGGATTGGTGCCCAGGGAAACCCGACAGTCGGCAAATACCTACTCAGATCACCAGAATTAGCAAAGATGGTTACTGGGCTTCATTCATTTTCACAGTAATGGTCACAGCAGTAATACAAATAGCTATCATTTGTGGAGCACCTACTAGCTGCCAGGCACTCTGATAAGCACTTTACATATATTAACTCATTTTAATTAACTGAGGCATTAAAGCGCAGAGCAGGAAATGCCTCATCTGCTCTTTGGACATGGGACAGGCCACAGGCCTTTGGTGTCTCAGTGCCCCTTTTGGCTGAAGAAAGAGCACGGTGCCTGAATCTCAGTTAACCAGATGACAGACACAGTACAAAAGGCTCCTGTGTCCATAGCAGACACACACACACGCATCCATCCACAGCCTGTGAGATCTTGCAAGAGGATGTGTGTGTGTGTGTGTGTGTGTGTGTGTATGTTCAACACCATGCCCACCTCCTAGCCAATTTTCCTTCCCAAAAAACCCTGCCCTGATTATAACCCAACAAAGTCAGTATGACTTTGGAATGCTTTCCTTCTTCCATTTTGGAAAACATTCATTGTTCCTGTGGGATATTTCCCCCCATTTTATTACCCTCTATGGAGAGATGATTGCTAGGAATATGATGTATTAAGAACTATATGGTGGGGCCCCTGGGTGCTCTGTGGCTGTGTCTCCTCTGTGGGTTGGTGGCCAAGACAGCCCTCAAGCAGGACGTGAGGAGAGGCTCCAATGGAAAGGGAGACTGACAGCAGAGTGGGGGCTCCCTGGAGGGACCACTGGACTTGGTAGAGGTTGAGCCCAGCCCTGCCATGGCAGGTGACACTGTGGCACACACCAGACCCATCCCCATGGCAGCACAGTTTCCAGATATTGGGCACCTTTTCCCTGTGGTTTCACCTCCAAGGAGCAGGAAGGGACAGTTGGCCCATGATTCAGGCCATGGTGAGCCAGGCAGCTGGAGAAGGAATTTCCTGGGAGCAGGCTGGCACGGATTTGCAGTCGGGGCAGCTAGACACAGGGACCCCTCTACATCAGTCTGGGCGGAGAGGGAGGGCAGCTACTTCAGAATCGGGTAGCCAGGGAAGGTTTTCCTGAACCTAGAGGGGACATTTGTGATGAAACTTGACCATGGGAAGGAGCCAGCCGTGGGAGGAGGCGAGGACAGAGGCTCCAAGCAAGCACCAAGGCCCAGAAGGAGGAGTTAGCCCACTGTGTGGGAAGAGCGAAAGCTTCTGTTCAGCCTGAACTGCACCCTGGGGGAGGGGTGGGGCCCTGGGCCATTGGACTCCCCCCAGTTAGGTCTCCCTGCAGCCAGCCAATTGGTGCCCAGATGCCCCGACCCCCAGAACTGGGTCCCCAAACTCTTTCGTCTCTCAGACCCCCAGGGGCTTCCTACCTTGATCTGTTGTTTGGTTATTTGGAGAACTGCGCCATTCAGAGCAGACCCAGTTTGATATTTTCATATCTAAACATCCTTGGCTTCCCCACCTCTGCCATCCTACCCCTACCCATCATGGGGTATTTGGAGGAAGACAGTCCCACACCCAGCTCCTGCTCTGGCCAGCCATCTCTGCCTCTCCATACAGAGAAGCATCTAGAACGTTTCTTGCTATACCTCATTAGAATAGGTGTCCCTGACTTCTCCTGGAAGCTGGCTCACCACCTACCCTGTTCCCACAGAGAAGGGATTACTGACTGGCATATCCCTCAGCCTCTCTATTGTGTAGACTCAACCCAAGCCTGAAAGAACCTCCACATGGGGCAAACCACAGGGACCCCTTTACATCAGCCTGGGACTTCCACACCTTCTCTTCCTCCTGGAACGGCCCCCACCCCAACACCCACCTCTGTTCAGTGAGGATCCACTTATCTTTGGGTCACCTCCTCACCCCAACAACCAGCACAGTGCTCAGCACATAATAGGTATTTATAAAACATCCCTTGAGTGGAATGACATGTCTAACTTTCTCAGTTTTCAGAGAAAAAAGGAATGTATGTGTAATTTCATCACTGAATGAACAGATGTTGACTGCGTAACAAGTTCATGTGTAGGCTTTGTGCGTAGCCTGGTGCAAAGAATCAGAGGTATGTGAGATGGGGCTTTTAAGGAGACAGTCATCTCTAGGGAAGACAGGGCTCACAGGCTGAATGAGTGTGGCCACTCCACAAGGTGGTCAAGGAGAGCTTCTTAGAGGACATAGTGGCCGGAACTGGCCTTGAACCTGGGGTGTGGCTTAACAGGAGTAGACCTGGCTGAGGAAAGGGACTTGAAGCAGGAAAAACATGAGTAAAGGCAGTGGCTTGGTGGTACCCAAAGGAGAGCTGATCGACAGAGGAGGCCAGTGAGCAGAGCAGAGTTAGGAGATGACAAGGTGTGGGAAAGTTGGAAGACACAGTCAGGTCCAGCTTGGGTGGGCCTCGGGAAGTGTGCCAAGGAGTTTGGGTTTTATCTTGTTGGCAGTAGGCTGCCGTTGATAAATTCTGAGCTGGAGAGGTATGGGATGAAAATGAGTTTTAGGAAATCACCATGGTGGCATGTGCAGGGTGGACTAGTAGTGGGGAGAGACTGCAGGTGGGGAGGCAGGTTAGGAAGCTACAGTAATGGACGCAGACATGTGCGGGTCTCCATGTGGGTGGGAAGGGAAGGGCAGCAGAGTACCATGTAGTGATGAAAGAATTCGAATGGTGCCTGGTGATCCGGTGGCTGGTGGGGCGCTAGGATCAAGATCTGGAAACTGGATGGCTGGGAAGAAGGTGAAACCTCTGGCAGAAAGTCAGGAGACACGGGTGGGCTGGACCAATGCAGTGAGTCCCTGACAAGCAGAAGGATCAGAGAACTGAAGCTCCAGAAATTAAAGCTGATGATAACAGTGGCTTTCGATTTTTATGTTCCAGGGCCTGTTTTCAACAATTCACATTCATCAAATTATTTAATCCTCCCAACTACCTGTGCAGTAGGTGCTATTATTATCCCCATTTTATAAGTGAAGAAAATGAGGCACAGAGAGGCTAGGTGACTTGCCCAAAGTACAGTACCAAATGCATGTGTGTATGATATAGATAGGTAGCCCTGATGAAGCTGTAATCCATGTGGGTCAGGTGCAGAGCGGAGTCCCATTTAAATAAGCACAGGACAATCAAGCAAACAAATCTTTAAAAGAATCCCATTCTTTATTCCAAGTCCCTCCAAAAATGTGGAAAGGAACCCTAAGGATAACTCCCGCTGCTTTGCTCATGTATGCCCTCTGTCGTCCTGTCTGTCCCAGCTCCACTCTGTTGAGCTGCAGTTTCCAGCTGACGGTCTGTCTACCCCAGCCTGGAAGGCTCTCCCTCTCCTGCTCTCTCTCCTCTCTTCCCTACCTTTCCCCTGCCTCTTTCTTCCTTCCTCTTCTCTGCCTGTAAAGGGTTCCCTCTCCTCTGCCTCACTCCCTTTTTCCCTCTCTTCCTAGGTTTCTCTCTATCCCTATCTCGCTTTCCCTCCCTCCCTCTCCCCTTTTCTATCTCCCTCCCCCGTCACCACCCAGCTCATTACCATGTAAATTGTCTGAACCTTTGGAGCGGAGCTTCTGCCTGTCCTCCTTCCTCCTGCCTCAGCCCAGGGCCTGCATCTGC